CACATCCCTCGGGCATTGCCTATAGCTCACCTGTTTTTGATGGGGCCTCGAAAGGAGGGGTCATATTTGGCCGAATTCCCTGAAAGGGGGAGTGGAGGATGAGTCATTGAGGGTCTCTCTCCCCACCACATCCGGTCCTTCTCAGACACTCCGTAGTCCCAGGAGCCTGTCTAGCTGACTAACAGGACCCTAGGGACCTGGATTAAAAGTACCCTGGTCAGAGAGCAGTCCCATGGTTGCCTGCTGTGGCTGCTACCCAGCAGCAGGAGGGAGGTGGGGGCTTTATTTTTGGCAGTAGTGGAAATCGAATCTATGGTTTCTTATGTGTGAGACAAGAACTCTGCCACTAAACTGTAACTACAGCAAATTATTTTATTTATTTACTTTTTTTTTTTGAGATAGTGTTTCTTTATAAAGTTTTAGCCTCTTGGAACGATCTCTGTAGACCAGGCTGGCCTTGAACTCATGGAGATCTGCCTGCCTCTGTCTCCCAAGAGCTGGCATTAAAGGCGTGTGCCACCACCTTCAGACCGAAGCCATTTATTTTCTTATTTTTGCTTTGTATATCAGACAAGATCTTGCTGAGTTCTCCAAGCTGGCCTTGAACTCGCCACCCTCCTGCTTCAGCCTCCTGATTGGTTTTTTAGAAAAAGCTTCTTAAAGTGATTCTTAAAGGTTTTTGATTGGTACCTCAGGGCATCTGAGTAGTATGTGGCCCAGCTTCTGGGATTCCCTCTTAGTGGCCCTCAGACCCCAGTACTAATTCTGTCCTATATCCTGTTCCAAGTCAGCTCTGGACCGTCCAGTTTGGGAGCCCCTCAGGGGACCACAATCACTTCTCTCAGCCCTCTGGCTCAAGGATATGACAAAGAAAGGATGGTTAAAGCTATGAAACTCTGTAGGTCAATGGGAGCTCCGTAGGACCCCCCCACACACACACACACTCAGGCTACCCTACAGCTCTGTAGACCCCCCACTCAGGCTACCACGGAGCTCTGGGTAGCCAGCCAGATTGACATCTGAGCCGACTGCTGTGGTTGTGGCCACGTCCTGTTCCTGGTCCTCCTTGAGTACACAGGGGAGGGGGTGGGGCCAGGCTGCTAGGGTCCTGGTGGACGCTGAGGGACAGCTGAGGGCTGGGCTAGCCTGGGGCAGGTATCTTCTTTCGTGGGCATTCTGGACTCTGTCCCACCTGGGCTCACAGACACAGGGTCAATGATTGACCCAAAGCTGTTCCAGGAAGTTTTCTGTGGCGTGCTCTGGCCATTACTCCGTCTCCTAGGGGACACCAGCCCCACCTAGAGGAGGCCCAGCCCTCAGCCCTCTCTCTTCCCGGTCCAGTCTCACGCTTCTCAGGATTTGGGGGAAAGACTTCCAGCCCTTTACTTCGGCAGTTCTGGAAACAGGCCTCCCTGCTTTCTCTGCCCTCAGGCCTCAACTTCCACACCGCCCTGGCCCCTATTAAATAAAGTGCTCCAGGTAGGCACACACTTCTTCCCAACGGAAACCTTAAGGCAGGTGTCAGCTGTCTCTGCTCCCCCCACTCCTCACAGGGGCCCTACCAGGGGGACTCCAGCAGCTCCACCCCCTATTCAAAAGAATTCCCTTAGTCCATGGTACTAGCCCCCCACTCCTCTCTGGGATTCTAGCAGGCAGACCCCAGTAGCTCAAGGTCCCAGGCCCCACACTTTACAGGAATCCTAGCAGGCAGACCACAGAATTTGGGTTCCAGCCTCCTACTCCTCAAAGGACTTTATTAGTTCAGAGGCTCATCTCCCCAACTCCTCACAGACCCCAGGAGTGTCAGACTCTTCCTCTTCATGGAGTGTGGGTTAACAGACCCCTCTCCAGCAATCTGTGCTCCTCTGAGCTCCAAAGTCTAAAGGAGCTCTCTGACTCACAGGAACCCCAGCCCCGACTCTTGGAGGTTCTACAGCACAGGACACTGCTGGACTCTTAAGTCTTCAGGACCCTAACCTGCCTTCTAACCACACAGGCTTTGTTTGTCAGGGCTCTGCCCTCAGGGACCTACAGCCCAGGCCTGACCTCCCCCTTCTAGACGCCAGCCCCAACTCCTGTTCACCCAGATTCCATTTAGTATGCAAGTCCTTTCCGGTGGCTCGGACCATCCTCCCAGGACCAGATTCTGTCTCTTTTCCTTGACTCCTGTTTTCCTGCAGGCTCTCCTCAGAGACCCAAGACTCCAGTTCCTCAGTCAGGATACAACCTCGGCCGCCATGGCTGCAGAGCCCAGCCACCTCTCTCCAGAGCCCGGGCCTCTGACCCCAGCCTTACCGTAAGCCTCGTTTTCATTCTGCTTTCTCCCCATGGCTCAGTCTCCAGAGTGATTGGAGCCAGGGAGACCTAGCCGCTCACCTGCCGCCCGCCCCGCCCTCCCCTCCCCTCCCCGACGTCACAGCCCCGCCCCTGCCTGCGGTCCTCTACAGTTCCTTATCTCAACTCTCAGCCAGCTCAGGGGTACCCGGCCTAGAACTGGGCCCCAGGAGCCGCTTGCAGGGTCTGACCACAGGAGGAAGAAACTCGAGTACTTTGATAAGAAAACACTGCATAGTTATTCAGAGTACTTCAACTGTGGCACACCCAAACCTCTAGGTTGTGATTTGTGGCCCATGGGTACCCCACTGCTCTTCTCTCCCACCAGGTGGCAGCCCACAGCTTGCTTGCTTCCCACCTCTGTCCCCTTAGCCCTGCAGTCCTCATTGTCCTGAAACAATCACCGGACAGTTTATTACCAAACCCAACATTTATTGAGAACACAGAAAATCAGTTGGCGGAGGCCCAACTTCAATCAGCAAACTGAGGCCAGGCTCAGTGGGGTAGGCCAGCCCTGAAGTCACTCCCAGTGAGAAACCAGCTCTGGGAGAGGGGCTGTCAACCTTCCAGGCCTAACTGGGGTCTCTGACGGAGGAATGTCTGAAGGGCAGTGCCCTGGCCTGGATTTTAAGAGTCCTCAGGTATTGATGGGGGGCAGGGAGCTGAGGTCAGGGAGCAGCTCCGGGTGGGGGTCCAGCCGGGCCAGGCGGCTCTGCTCCAGGGCGATGGCCTCGGCTGAATGCTTACACTTCTCGGAGCCGCACTGGCAGGTGAAATACTTGCTCTTGATGTCCCAGAATCGGTCACCGTAGTCAAACCTGGCAGGGGAAACATAGGAGCCCTTGACCCATGGATCCAGACACTCAGAACCCATCTCCCAGAGCCACAGGAGCCCTTTCTCTAGGAAAGAATCCTCCCTCCACCTGAACACTTCTCCAGATAGACCCCATGTCTTTGTTGGTCTATTGATCCCCACTCCCAGAGAACTGTCACAAATGCAGGCTTCTGCCCTCCCAGGCTTGGGACCAGAATCTCAAGAGGCTCTGTGGGAGGTGGGATGCAGCCAAGAGCCTAGCACACTTTACAGCTACTCCATCATCCAGTCAACCCACCCTTGCCCTCACCCCCTTCCTTGTTTTTTAAGATAGGGTCTCTCTCTATAGGCCTAGCTGTCCTGGAACTGTCTAGATGGCCCAGGCTGGCCTTGAATTTGTGGTTACTTCTGCCGCAACCTCTTTTAAATACTGGCGTGACTAGCATGTGATACCAGGGCAGGCTGGACTTCTCTTTTTGTTGGTTTTTTTTTGGACACAGGGTCTTACTCTATAGCCCAGACTCTTTGTGATCCTCCTGCCTCGGTCTCCTGAGTGCTGTGATCATGAATGCATGTCCCCACACCTGCCTTGCACTGTTTTAACAAGCCCTCCAAGGGACACTTAAGAACACCAAAGGCTGGTTGGCCCCTCAGGCTGGCCCAGGACTGCTGGGGTTCCTCACCCCAGCTCCTCCCCAGTCCGGATGTCCCTGGAGCTGAAGAAAGCAATGCGCGGGAACCGCAGGTCCTGGTGCAGCATGAAGACCCGGACAGGGATGATGTTGGGGTCACACAGGTGGTTAATGAAGCGACTGATGTTGCCATAGTAACGGGCATCAATGCAGTAAACCTCACCATCCTGGGGGTGGGGGACACAATGTTCTTAATACCCACCTCCACCCACTCACCTTGGTAGTTTTCCTGCAGTGAGACCCAGTCCCTCCACCCAGGTTTCCACTCCCAGATGTCCCAGGAGGCTGCAGAGGACACAGGTGCCGCTTCCCACCTTGTTGTCTAAATCGAAGAGGTACGAGTCATCCTCCCTCACGTCGGCCTCGGCGTCCGAGATCAGCTCTCCCACATACCTATTGGACAGACACTTGCTCTGCGTGTGAGCGGGGCTCTGGGCCCCCTCCCATCTCAGTTCTCAGAGCCCAGGGGAGGGGTGCAGGACACGGTCCAGCCACTAGGGGTCCCCTGTGCAGCTGGCACAGGTGTGAGACTCTGTGGGGCGGAGGTGGGAGGAGAGCCTGCAGACCTGCAGAGGCACGGTGGGAGATGATGGGGAGGGTGTGCCCTGAGGATTAGCATCCTTGGTGGCTGGCTGGGTGCAAAGTTGCCAGGCTTAGACATGGGGAAGTGTGTGCACCAGGAACTATCTATCACACAGGCAGGCTGTGCACAGCCTCATCAGCTGTGACACTGCACTGCCCCATGTAGCTTGCAGAGGAACTGCACAACCTAAGGACAGATAAGGGCGGCTGAGAAGTTGAGGGAACAGAGAAAGAAATGGGGCGGTCCTCAGAGCAGGTGTCTGAGCAGGTGAAGGGGCTTCTCTGCTCTAAAGGCCACAGAGACCGAGGTGAGTCTAATGGCCATGGGGAGGAGGTGCACAGGAGGGAGCTATTCTCACTTTACAGAGAAGATGAATAAGGCCGGGAGAGATTAAATAAAGTGGCCGGGGACACAACAGAACACAGCTCACACCCAGGTCTGTCCGCTGCAGGCGTGCTAGCTACATCTAGGCAGTAAGGAAAGGGACGACATGATGTCTGGAAACACACTCGGTGGGTGGGGGTACATGCAGGATGACACGGAGCTCTGGGGTTCAGAGCAGAGGGAGGCCAAGCTCTGTCTTCAGTTGAGAAGGAGGCAGGAGGTCAGAGTGGGGCCTGGGGGTCAGCAGAATGCTGACACACCACAGTCTCAGGGTGAACTTACTCGCAGATGAACGTGCCCTGGGGAATGGTCTGCAAGGCACGGACCCCCCAGCCCATCTTGGCAGTCCGGTAGAGCTGCAGCCGCACCCTAGAGGTGGAGAGGGAGTCATACTGAGTGTGGGACACCAGGAGAGCCCCAGGGGAGGGAGGCGGAGGCGAGGCAGGGTGCCAGGGCGCGCGCCTCACTTGATGCCGCTCTGCACCACGCGGTTCTTGCAGCTTCTCCAGCAGGAGCATGCCTGGTTACACTCAAAGATCAGGGGGGGCTCGATCTTGTTAAACTCCTGGAGCAGCCGCCCGTCCTGGGGTGCGGAGGGAGGGGACAGTGGTTTCTCTGTGGGGCCCATTTCAGCTGCCCAGGACCCAGAGGACTCCACAGGAAACTCCACTCTGACCCCAGCCCAGAGCAGGAGAGGAAGGTGCAGAAAGTCTGCAGGCCGAGGTCAGAGACCAGGAAGTGTGCAGGCGGGCATCGAGTCCATTTGCATATACCCGAGCAGAGAGGCCCATTGAATTCCTGGCAGGGTGACAGGGCTTCCTGCTACACCCTGTCTCATCCCCAACAGAGCAGGGTCCTGGCTCCTTGGCGAGAGTGGCCAGGTGAGGGACACGCACCTTGTCATACCAGCATCGGATGCTGAGCTGACCACACAGGCAGTTGGAGCTCGAGCAGTCATCAACACACGTGCAGTGCTGGGTGGGGAAGAGTTGCTGTGAGTGGGGTTCTGGTTCAGGACAGTGATGGTGATGGTCCTAGTGAGGGGAGTCTCTGTGCTCCCCACCCCATGTGGAGGGGGAGTCTCCGTGCTCCCCACCCCGTGTGGAGGGGGAGTCTCCGCACCCCCCACCTCATGTGGAGGGGGAGTCTCCATGCCCCCCACCTGGGTGGAGGTACCCCCACACCAGGCTCCTTTCAGGCCCTGCGGGCCCCGCCTCACCTGCAGGTGGGTGATGTTGCGGTCGATGTTCATGGTGGAGGTCTCACAGTTCTCAGAGATGTACTTATAGTCCTCCGGGCACGGCTCCCCATCCACACCATTGACGCAGGGGATGGGCACGTTCTCATAGCCTCGGGCTACATCCCTACACAAGGGGCAGACGACGTTAATGCCAGAGCATTTCTGAGGGGAGGACTCCTTGGTGCAAGGGTGCTGGGGTGGTGGCACCTTTAATCTCAGCACATGCAGTGAGACTTTCTTGAAAACAAACAAAAAAAACAAGGTAAGACACCAAGGAAAAGACTCTCGGCTAAGAAATAATTATGTCCCAGACAGTGAGTGGGTTATTTTTGTTTCTTAGTGAGACTGCAGACAGGCCAAGGAACCCTCTACCACCGAGCTGTTTCCAGCCCAACCTTTTTTTTACTCCTTTGTGAGATACAGCATCATATAACCCAGGCTGGCCCCGAATTGCGAGATAGAGAATGACTTGGACTCTTGATTCCCCTGCCCTCGATCCCGAGTGCTAGGATTAGAGACACATGTCACCACCCTGCTGGACTCTGGACTTTTAAATTTTAGCTGGAGACTGAGTCTTGCTACAATGCCCCGGCTGGCCTTAAACATGAAATCATGATCTTCCTGCCTCCGCCTCCTTAGACGCCATAAGGACAGACACAGAGCAACGTACTCAGCTTGTACAGAATACACTTGTATTACAAACTGACCACCCGAAAAAGGTATCTTATCATTTTACGTGTATGAATATTTTGCCTGCACTTATGTGCCCCACATGTATGTCTGGTGCCCACAGAGGTCAGAAGAATCTTCTGGAACTCAAATTACAGATGGTTGTGAGCCGCCATGTGGGTGGTGAGAACTGAACTTGGGTCCTCTGCAACAGCAGCCGCTGCTTTAACCACTGAGCCTCCACTCCAGATCCATTCTTTTTTTTTTGTTTTTTTTGAGACCGTCTCATTCTGTAGCTCTGGCTATCCTGGAAGTCAGCTCCATCTGCTCTGCCTGAGTGCGACAATTAAAGGTCACAGTCCTTCTGGGTACCATGATGTACGCCTTTAATCCCAGCACTCAGGAGGCAGAGTTACAGGGAGCTCTGCGAGTTCCAGGCCAGCCAGGGCTACACAGAGAAACCCTGTCTCCCACCCCACACCCCTAAAAGCCTCCCCTCAAAGAATGCCCTTCCACCCCTTCCCTTCTTGAGACAGCATCTCACTGTGTAGCCCTGGAACTCAGAGATCAGCCTAAATCTGCCTTCAGAGCAGAGCGATCAAAGGTCATTACC